ATCATGACTTGATGGTGGCCGCTCGCCTTGGAAAGGATGGCTATATCAAGCAAATTGCTGGATATCACACAGATGACAACGACACACGAGTTCGACAAGTCTCATGGGCAATCTTTGAAGTATCTTGGGGAAAGACAAAGGATCGAGATACAGATGATATTGTTGACTTGACAAGAGCTAGGATGAGAATGACACGTGTGTGCGTTTATCACGTCGGACAGAAGTATGCATCAGACTCTGCTGGGATTGTTGGTGAGTGCTTAGCTGTTATGGCTTTTGAGTGTGCCAGATATCAAGTTGACTTCATCGCAGGTGATGGAAACAAGGCATGCTATTACAGCACCCCAAAATCTCCAGGTGTCCCTACATATCAACACAGCCTTATCCAATTCTGGATTAACAGAATGGTAGGTGTTGCAACACAAGCCATGCGCAAGAATTTTGATCCAACTTGCCCTCCAATCAGGGTCAAGCATTTCATTTCTTGCAGTTATCGTGACTTGGATTTTCTTGCAACGCACTTGGATGGCATTACAACAGCAACATACACCGACGAGCTCATGAACAAGACAAATGGTAGAGGTGATTGTTGTATGTTAACAGTTGTTGAGTGGGGTCATTCACGTTTGATGTGTGAGGAACACCCAGAAGACTTTGAGGATGAAGATCACATGAACTATGTGGGTGAATTTTACTTCAAGGTAAATGAAACTTGCTTACATGGTGATCACAACATTTTCATGGTTGCTCCAAATGATCGCGATGCTCATAATCCAATTCTTATCCATCTTGATCCTTCTGATATGTCATGAAATGAACGACATCATTACAAACAGGCCTACAAGAAGAAGCAGTATGCTGATTCAAGAAAGGAAAGACAGAAGGAGAAAAAGAGAAAGGCATATGAAGATCAAGCATCGACGTATCAGGGCAACACAGAGTGGGGTGGATCCTCATCTTCAGCGTCCAGACCATGGAGATCAAGTGAGTGGCGATGAGTGAGTGTGCACTTCTTTAATTGAAGATAACACAGCATGAGAAGCCGTGTACAGTTTTTCTGTGCGTTCAACTTATTTCACACAGATGGCATATACTCTTTTAGATAGAGATAATGCCACAAGTGTCTGAACTTCAATTTAATGTAAAATAGAGACTCTTGTAAATAGAGATACTATATACATTTATCTCCATGAATCATCCGGCGAGCAGACCACTCCGAATGGAGCGAACTTCAAAAATTTACCAACTTCGATTTCAGTCCATTGTTTGCTTGAATGAGCAACTTTGGAGATCCGCTATTTCCGTTTATTTCGTGATTTGGTCAATTGTTTTTCGTATGACCAGAATTTCTGAATCTTGCGAACCCGAACTTTTCAATTCGAACTTTCACCGGTAGAGCGAGGCATTTTGCCTATGGAGAGACCGTGCGCGAAGCACCATTGGTCACTACTGGAAAAATTAGCGAATCCGCTGTTCTTTTTCGACATGTCCTTAGGACATTCGCTGCTTTCACGTGTTTTTCAATTCGAAGCCACTGCGTAACTCCGGTTTCTTTTGCTATTTGCCATTGTGTAGAGAAGTCAGGAAGATACTCTTAATACCAATTGGGTACGGCAAGGCGTAGTGCTCTACTCATTGCTTTTGAATTTGTGCCTGTGTTTTTGTTTCGACCTAATACCTACATAGGTACATGCATGAGTATTGAGCACATTTATATGCGCCCTTCAAGGCTCAAGAGGTATATAGAGTAACCCTGTAGACAAGCACTGACCGGCAACAGGCTGAGAGTAAAAGAGTGCTGTCATTGGGGAAGACGCCTTAGCTGATCTTGAAGTAGACGCTAGGGCCCCTCTTCAGCCCTCCCCCCCAATCCCCCCCTCCCGCTTTTTTTAATTATTTAAATTCAAACTTGCACACTTTTCAATACACTTGTTTGATTCGACTATATTAATATTTTGTTAAAAATTATATATATATATATATATATATCTATGTATATATATATATAGACACACGTATACATATATATATATATGTATATGTATATATTTGCATTTATATATACACTTATATTTATATATATTAATGTACTTATATAAATGTATATATATATATACATACATATTAATATGTATATACATATCAATGTATATATATTTATATAATTATATAACTATAAGTATATATATATATATATATTATAAATACACATACATATTTACTTATAGATATACAGACGTATACATATATATATATGACATATTTGTGGTTGTTTTTATACACAACTTTGATCCCAACATAAACAACAAATAATCATGTAATTATACCTAATTACATGTTGTATCCCTAAACCCTAAACCACACCCTGCATATACATACATACATGCATGCATGCATACATACCTACCTACCTACCTACCTACGTACATACATACATACACACATACATATATATATATATAGATTGATTGATTGAAGAAAACCAAAGAAACCTTGCAGAAAACGATGGAAAATTGAAGAAAACCATGGAACAATTGAAGAACACTATGGAAAAATTGAAGAAAACCATGGAAAACTTGCAGAAAACCATTGGAAAACCATGGACAAATTGAAGAAAACCCGGGAAAAATTGAAGAAACCAATGGAAAAATTGAAGAACACCATGGAAAACTTGCAGAAAACAATGGAAAATTCAAGAAAACCATGGAAAATTGAAGAAAACCATGGAACAATTGAAGAAAACTATGGAAACATTGAAGAACACCATGGAAAACTTGCAGAAAACAATGGAAAATTGAAGAAAACCATGGAAAATTGAAGAAAACCATGGAACAATTGAAGAAAACTATGGAAACATTGAAGAAAACCATGGAAAAATTGAAGAAAACTATGGAAACATTGAAGAAAACCATGGAAAAATTGAAGAAAACCATGGAAAAATTGAAGAGGCACGAACCCCAAAAAAAAATCCAAAACAGTAAAAAAAAAAATACCAAAAACAATTCTGCACCCATAATTATATATACACATAAGTTTCATATTCGCAATGTAAAAACTGAGGCCTGTGTTGACTCGACGCTTCAATTTGTTGACGAATCTTTGTTTAAGCACAATCTCCCCGACATTATATACCTCCCCCATGATTGTGAACAGACTGCAGGGAGCCTTGTCAGCCAGAGTCATACGTATTTTTTTGGTTTCAAGAGAACGTAAGAGGATTGAGAATGCAAGGGGTACCGTGCCGTTCTGCGATGTGGTCAGTGAGGGCGACAAAAAGTGGCGCAAAATGGAGGATCCTGAGACTGGAGATGAGGCCCGCATTACGGAGCCTGCGGTTGTGTTTCCTGGCCGTAGGTTTGAAAGATTTCTTTGCTCAGAGGCGCAGAACGTTTAGATTATCACGGTTTAGCGATGTTCTTCCTTGTGTCACTACTTGCGTTCACATTGTTGGAAACGATCCGCATTGAACTGCGCCAGAGCAAATAAAAACAGGCCAGTTACATACTATATCAATCTATATCATTGATTATATCATATTATCTACCTTGAATGACGGATAGTGACCTTCAGGATCTGGACTGGTGCAGCTCACATGATCCCTTGTGCACGCCGGATGGCAGGGTTGGATGATGCTTTATCACCCTCAGCTGGGTTCTCGGAGTTGCAACCGGTTCTAAGGCAACATGAGCTGGAATGCTGTGTCATAAACGACATGTTCATGTGAGTCCGAACGAAACTAACACGAACTAACCTGCTTATCAAGAGCTATTAGCGGTCATGCAAGGATTGGAGAATTGCTTCGAGTCGTGGAAGAGGTCACTGAGGGATCATTTCTGTTCTTGTTCCATGAGAATGGGTTCTCCGGTCTTCCACATAAATTCTATTTGTGCTCCAAATGCGATCCTGCAGCTGACTCATTGGTGCACCTAGTCCTGGATAGACTGCCTGTTGAGATAGAATTCCACTGGTTGCATCCATGACGTACAGGTAAATAGACGAAAGAAGATGATGGTTTGACATGCATATTCTTGTTTGGTTTCTAATTTCCTCTAGCACCTGTAGCCCTGATTTGCCAGAAAAGGGTGGCGCGTATAAACTTGCAACATGCTAGCCCCGTGATATGGTTGCCTGCACTCCGAGATAAAGGAAAACAATAGAAAGCGATCATTTGGGTTCGAAGAAGTCGGCCAACTTTCAAATGGTTTGTGAACTTTGTCTCCTTACTTGCAAAATGTCCCTTTGCAACACCCAACCGACAGGAAAGGCTGGAGTAGCTGCTGAGTAGCCTATGACTCAGCGCTTTGCTTGTCAGGGTCTAGAGTGTTTTGGCAAAGATGGTCAACCATCAGTCAACTTGTAGAAGCACCCGCTCTGCTTGCTCTTTTCTTCCTTCATGTTCTAAATTCTAAAATCTCCCTATACCAAACAGATTAAATGAATCACGCATGCCTTCTTTGTTGACCGCTTTCACATCCTGAGGTTAGGAAACCTGGGCTTTTGACAAAGGCCTCAAGAGACCAGGTCTTCAGTTTTAAAGAAAAGAAGCTGTAACGGAGGCTGCTACGACTTGTGGTTTCTATTTTAGTTTGGATGGTGATATGAATAGCACAATCCCCATCTTGTTTCCCATTGTGGCCACCTACTTGTAGCTCTTGGCGTCAATGGCTTGATTTTTTCAAGATGAAGTCAGACACAGCTGGTGTTGAATATTCTTGGATCCCCAGTTAAATAATCAGCTGCATGTAGCTGTACAAAGATGCAAGATCTTGAAGTCAACACAATGAAGGGTGAGAACGAGACAAACTGAACACAGGCTGTCCAAATGGCAATGGCAAGAATCACTAGGGTTACACATGCACAACAGACAGAAAACACTGGCAGAGCTGCAGAAATGCGGAGGCTATCGAGGACAACTGAGCAATTTGCTCTATGACTTGTGGACTTGTGGGATCTTGTAGGCATCCTTTTCATACCTGTTGATGTTCAAGTCCTTGCCGCTCCGACTCATGTAGAAAGTCTTCATGTGATGCCATGGTGGCATGGCTTTCAACAAGCTGGAGATGGCTGAGCGGAATTTTGAGTTGCAGGGCTGCAATGAGAGGTCAGGCACAGGTGAGCGCAGTGAGAGGCCTGCTATGGGCTGCTTGTAGTGTACCGCTTTTTAGACCAGTGAACAGATTCTTGGCATTTCTGGGCAAAAACACCTTATAAGTCCCCTTTTTTTTTCAATGGTCAAGCTCCAAAGCGGATCTTGAGAGACTGGTGCTTGAAATTCTGCATTACAGGAAATGGCAGGGGGATGCAGGAAGGATATGTCTGCTGCATATTTCTGTTGTACTTGCCAGTTGCAGAGTGATCAGGCGCATACGTTCTTTCATACATGGCTTTGGGATTTTTGTTTGTGGCATTGGTTGGCAAGCAGATGCAAGCGGCTATGTCAGCTATGTTGCTTCAAACTTGCTACGGTTCTCTCGCAGTATAAGAAGCCGCACTCCTCGAGGCCTGCGTCCAACTTTAGGATCTTCAGGCAGCATTCTCTTGAATCACTGCTTGCGGGCTCATTTGCGCCTTGAAGAAAACTACAATGTGACTGGTCTGACTTGTGCTGCGCCAAATGTTGTGAATTCTATTGACAGCAAATGCATGCAAATGCCTACAGGCACAGGTCTAGATTATACAGGTCGCGATTCTCAGGTCTCTGGATTTGTATCTCAATAGCGGGCTCCTGACACTCTTTGCATAGCTGGCTGCTAGAGCCACTCTTCGGACACAATCTCCCGAATCATTTGTACAGCTCACATTACATAATTCATCACCATGCACAAACACGATCTGACGGACGAAAAAATACAAACGAATGCAGACTATAGATGTCTTTGGATTGCCCTGGCAAGGCTGCTAGGCTCCTGTCACATTCGTTCCAGGTTACTGCATGTCTGCCGAGCCCTTGGGGTTCGTACGAACCAAGTGACTTGTCGTAGACTGGGAGATCTGAGAGAAGCACACCTGAATAAACAGCAAAACCTGAGTTTGGCACCCATCGAATGGCAATGAACCTCCTGTTCTTCCAGCCAGGGCTTTGGTAGTACTAATGAGGTTATATGGGCGACGGCTTTTATTTGGTTAAATGGAGGGTAGTATTGGGGCGTACCCCGGTTTGCCAAAAACATCATAATTAGTCTGTAAAACGAGGTAGAAACAACCCGAGAACGAGGTAGGCATCGCACCTAAAGCATTTAGCTATTGAAAACAAGTGCAGCATTGGAGAACAAGGTCAGATCCCAAAAAACGTGGCGGGACTGGAGAACGAGGTAGGAGCACCATGGAACACCCCGTTAATTGCGTTATGTACCAAATAAAGTCTGCGGCTCATATGAGGTTTGTCACAAGTCATAGACATAGGTTCAAATGGTCCAAACATGTCCAAACAAGTTTCACCTGTCAATACCTGACTCTCCATTTTGATGTTGTACCTCGACTCATGATGATGGTTGTTGGTCTGGGAGCTTGTTTGGCATTCTCCTTGATATTGCAAAGCTCTGATTGTAATGGTGTTCAGAGCCGAAAAGTCAATGCATCAAGGCATCAAGTCTATTCAAGTCTATTCAAGTCTATTCAAGTCTATATGTTTAGGTCATTTAGGTCATGAAACTTCGGTCATCTTCGGTCCTTCAGAGGCAAGATCGGCAGTCCTCCCTCTCAAGCCTCCTGGCATGAGTTGGTGGACGTGTACGATGTCGATGGGACAACCAAGATCGGCAATGCGACTGCGTGGGAGGTGAGGCGGGACCAGCTAGAATTATTGAATTGGACCTGAATGGATCTGGAGTGTTGGTTCCAGCACTGAATCATGATGAAGTTCTTTGAAGATTCACCTTTGTTCCTTTGCAGGTAACAATCACAGGCTTGAATTACCCTGAATTGAATGTCTTCGATAGATTCTCTGAAGCAGTGTCAAGGGACTTAGCCAGTTCGTTTTGCATGGACGCGTTTCTTGGGTTTAACAAGGGGCTTTGCTACACTTGGTTGATACAGGGATTCTTACTTGGCAGGCATCTTGCCAGCTAGGTTGAAGTTTTCTCAAAGCTTCTGAAGGCACAGACCTCTTGCCTTTGGCACCGGACTGTATATGCAGCTTACCTGAAGAATGTTGTGTGATTTTGTGTGGTGTGGTCATTCATGGACGAGCAACAAAAGCTGCAAAAACTATATAAGACTTTAAGAATTGGAAATGTTCATTCTCTCTATTGTAGTTATACCCCGCAGCAGTTGAATTAAGTTTGCGAGCAACTTTGGTATGTGTACTGTACTGTGTACTGGCCAAAAAACGGTGTAAACTTGTTCTTTCAGAGCACGGAGGATTATTTTCGACAAATTTGGCGATTGAAAATAATGTAAACAGATTCTGTGGCCTACAAACAGATGCCTACAGCATGTTGATACCTCAGGTAATCCTCCGCTTGCCGGATGAGCGGTTTCTTCTCCAACAGCGTGCAGTATGGAAATGGCGAATGGGAGGTCTGTGGGACTTAGGACAGACAAAGCGTTGAAGCTTGCGGCAACATGATGCAACATCCAACAGCGGTCAACAGCCCCATACTGTACCAGTACACACCAGTAGCGTATCACAGTATTTACAAGTTATACGATGTTATAATATGTTGTAAGAGTCAGAATCAATCAGAAGTCTTTGCTGGAAGACCGTGGCGCAAGGAAATTATTTACTGCATGCAGGCGTAAGAGCACATGATCGGGGCTGAGGTTTGTGTGCACTGACCTGTGCATCAAAGTGTGCTGTAGGATGTTTGAGGTCTTAGAGTCTTAGGCTCCCGGAAGCGCACACAGCCCGAACATGCCAAAATGAACTCAACATGAGTCCCAAAGACATGACAAACCCTTGATGGAACCAATATAGAACTAGAATGAACTAGAATGAACTAGAGAACGCGGAGCCGCCAGAGGACTCTCCGAGACTGTGGAACTTGACGAAGATCTGTGGACAGCTGCGAATCGCGCAGTCACAGAGGACTGCTCTGGACTTTGGCCAACCATGTTTCATCTTCCACGGCCAACACAAGAGAGGAATCAGAAATAGAGTAGCGGAAGATGTTGGAACTTATCCCATGAACGAATGTTAATAATCATCTCATGTAGACTGACTAGATTATAATAAATTATAAATTATATATACACCTTCTAGTTGACTCGTTGATCTCGTTCTTTGCTTTTGTTGAAGTTACTCTAGCATCTCAAGCGCCCCAGGAGCTTGGTGAGCATGCTCCTCGCCACCACTTGCGCGAATGCTGTCGCTTGAGCGTAGGCGGCGTGGCACAGGAACCATCAGACTCCTTAGAGAACCTCTGGGCAAGGCCCCCAAGGCGTAAGTTCTTGTGACATGTGTGACATGTGTGACATGCGTGACACGGGCCCGTTTGGTGAAGATTATAGTATCTTTGGTCAAGATTCATTGCTTACTGTATTGCTGGACATTGATTGGTGCAGGCCCTCCCCCTCAAACAAGTGAAGGGAAGTCATGAAAATGGAAATGTAGAAAAGTCTTGCTGGGAAAAAGTTGTTGTGAATCTAGGTAAGGACTTCACATTGTTTGAATCTACTGTCGATTAATTTTCCTGTGTTGGGCCCATGTTTGATGATGGAGAGGATCTTCCGCCAATTGCACTATTCTGTCTCTGGGTGGTTCATTACTGTACCCTTGTGCAAAATTGTTTGAGTGCTGTGTTTTACCTTAAGTGCAGTAAAAAAAGAAAATCGTTTTGGAATGTTCTTCATTCTTTGGAAGTGATGCTAAATAAGATACACAAAAAACAAGGAGTGGTGCCTTTTGAGATTAAACTTGTTTGTTGTTTGGGCAACCCCGCCAATTAATGATAATGCAATATTGTTTCTTGTTCTTGTTGTTGTTGTTGTTGTTGTTGTTGTTTGTTGTTGGTTGTTGTTGTTGTTGTTGTTGTTGTTCATGTTGTTGTTGTTGTTGTTGTTGTTGTTGTTGTTGTTGTTGTTGTCGTTGTCGTTGCCGTTGTCGTTGTCGTTGTTGTTGTTGTTGTTGTTGACTCGATACCCGGACTTCAAAATGTACAATGTCGTATTTACTTTATGAAAGTTCCTACATTTGCTGAAGCTGCTGTGATGCTATGGGGGACCATAGGACCTCCCATAAGTTTATAGAAATTGATTGGCAAGTAGGGAAGGGCAGGAAGGGTCGCTGTGTGGCTCTCACCTGTCAGGATGGAGCGGGTCGATGCCCCAAATGCAGGTGCTCGATGACGCCAATTCTTTTGTCGCTATAATATTTGTAGTGCATCTTGTGTGACCTTTAGTCTTTGCATGTTTTCCTTGAGATGGTTTGAATTTTGTGAGAATTTTGCAACCTGGGGTGAGACTACCCATGGTTGCCATATCTGAGCTTGGAAGTGTAATGCGACTTTTGACTGGATCGTCGAATGCTTCAGGTTTGCCAAGCAGATCACAATATAGTGTTTACAGCACTTGGCGAAGAACGGCTTGACTATGGTCAGCGAGATGCAGAGGTAGACTGGGGGAGTTCGTTGAGTTTGTCAGCAACACGGGTGTCACAAGAGTGAGTAAAAGGCCGCGCTGCCAAGGCCATCCAATCCCATCCAAGAATGATGTGACTTGATTCGTGAGAGCCATGAGGTGTGTGATCAGGTTGTATGGTTTCATGATAAGTCACAGATGTAGATGGCCCATGCATGTTCATATGGGACAGTATAAAAACCCGGCCTTTCATTTTTGCTTGGCTTGCCCCTTAGCACTACGTACCATGCATTACCGACCCAGAAAACGATAAAAGTAAAAAAACAAACGATAACGAGCTTATACATGTGCATGTTCATGACCCCTGAAGATGGCAAACTGCACAGGCCTCCAAAATGATAGCAAAACCATAACAAAAACTACGATAACGAAAACGTGAGCGTTTGAGCGGATACCCACCTGACCGGTTTGAGCATATCACCTTTACCTGTATGATACATAGTGACGCATTGAAAGGAATGAAAGGTATTGAATGCAAAATGAAAGGACATTAATGCAAAATGAAAGGAACATGAAAGGACATGAATGCAAAATGAGAGCAAAATTGAAAGGAACATGAACGGAAATGAATGCAAAATGAAAGGAACATGAAAAGAAATGAATGCGAAATGAAAGGACATGAATGCAACATGAAAGAAGCATTAATAAGGGAAATGAATGCAAAATGAAATGAAATGAAATGAATGCGAAATGAAAGGACATGAATGCAACACGAAAGAAACATTGAGGGAAATGATTGCAAAATGAAATGAAACGAATTCGAAATGAAAGGACATGAATGCAACATGAAAGAAACATTCATGGAAATGAACGCAAAATGAAAAACAGTGAAAGGAAATGAAAGGAGAAGATTACATTTGTCGACTTTCGACCAAGGATGCTTTCACACCCACAGAAAGCTGGAAAGTTCACATTTCTAATACAGAGAGCCCACCACCTGAAACAACGATAAGAGTACTAAAAAAACGATAACATGATTTGGGACATTGAAAATGACACGTTTTTTCTACAATCCCATATGATTATTTGTTTTGAGTCTTATGAGGACACTAGATCATGAAATGAAAGGGAATGGAGAAACTGATATTTATCAACGGCCACTGGACAGGTCGAGGCGTTGGAGTATTGGACCATGGAGGAATACAAACACCAAGCAGATACTCGCCGAAAAAGGTGTGAATTTTGGAGCAAGGAACCGATGTGGTGAATTCACAAATTATATAGGTGAGACGGTGAGACACTCCAATTCCCATGGCCGGACTAGAGATTTCCCAGAGATTTCCGTGGTTGAAGTCAAGTACGTCCGATGCCAAAAGCAATGTCAAGACTTGCATCTTGGCTGAGGAAGTGGAGCCATTTCGTTTTGCGCCATGGGTTCATGCGTTGATCCTGGGATGTTCTGAATGCTTCGGCCCAAAGACGGCAGAACTGTGAGTCAAACTTAGCAACTTCCGAGCACAACCTTTATGCCTCGTTGGGCAGTGGTGGTTGGAAAATACCTGCTGCGGCTGGGTGCGCTTTCAGTTTTATTCTAAGAAAAACAAACAACATTTAACATTATGCAATGTGTCTCTTGTTTCCTTTTTCTGGGAAGAAAATTGCTACATTTGGTTTGTAGCTCAGCTGATACGCCTTGAGTTTGAATCATTTTGAATTTATTTTTCTCACAATCTCGCACGCAGGCCAAGGAACTCACTGGGAGGAAATAAACCGGAAGTGAGAGCACTGAGCGATCCTGGCAGAAGTCTTATAGAGGAGACTGGTATGAGCCGTGATCGGGATTGAGCTTCGAATTAGGAAATTCTGTGAAGGCATCAACACAAACTGTTACACTGTTGTTTGCAGATGTTTGCAGATCCATTGAAACGAGCAGGGGCATAGTATGCGTGAAGAATATCAGAGGCCGAGGGCAAGCGTCTCTTGTCCAGTCTTCATCAGCCTCTCATGGTTTGGAAGGCTCAATGACGTCGGCAGATCGTGAGAGGTATGAGAGCGCCTATCTTCCCACTGCCCAGCAATGCCCAGCAATGCCGGCAAAGCGCCAAATGACTACGTACAACAGACAATGTACTTGGAAGCTGGTGCAGTTGATAAAATGTGATGATAAATGTATGATAATGTATGTAATATAATATATGCACAATTGTTTGTATACTGTACGTATGTAACATGTATGCAAGTCTTTGAACTCCAAATGTCCTTGCGAATGCAGTCAATTGTGGCAATGGGTTTGCGAAGGAGTTCACGAGTCTTTGGTTTGCCTTGGCAATTTGTAGTTCCAGCATCTTGGGCACCCAAGCTGGGAAAGTCAAGTGCACATCTAGCTCCTGCAGCAAAAGCAGCTTTACAGTCTACAGAGTCTACAAAGTCGCTGCATTGAAGCAGAGCCTTTCCATGGTTTCCATGACCACTATTGATAGCCGATGTGAAATGCCAAGAAGAACAGGAACAAAAATCCTTCGCAGCGATACAGATACCCATTGAATTTCTATATTGGAAATGCTCCACCAGCAAACACGATTGTTGAATTTGTTTCGTTAATTTGGCCATGATCGCTTCCCTAACGTCAGATGGTTCTACGGACCCAAAGCACCTCCATGCCTGTTTCCCCAAGACGGCATGGATGGGTCTCACACGTAGGAGGTGGAAGCCATTCTGATTCCACTTGCATGATCCATCACTTCCACAGCCAAGTGTGGTGGAATTTATCTGTCTCTGTGTTGTTTAGACCAAATCGTATACAGAGCTGGTAGTGCACTGCAACATATATTGGTGGCATCACAGGCCATATGCGAGAAGGACAGTACGGAGCAAGAGAAAACAGTGCAGATTGCGTGGGACGTGTTTTTCAAGAGTATTAAATATGATGCATTGTCTGATGTTTCCACTTGCAACTATCGTTGAACTACACACTTTTAGAGCTGCTTAGTTTTCATAGTTTTGTGTTTGGGTATGTGTGTGTGTCTGTCTGTGTGTGTGCTTTTGACACAATCCGTGGATCCAATTATCTGGGAATACGGCCTATGATTGCAGAAGGTAGAAGCAATGGGTCAACTCGGAAGTGTGGAAACAGTACGTCTGAATTGTGGTGTAACATGGTGTAACAGGATAAGAGCGGGTTATGTTGCATGAACTAGAATTCTGTAGCTAGGACAGCGGACTTAAAAGGTTTGTCGAACCAGAAAACTATCAGACTGCAAGCTGACATAATTTAGGCTCAAATTGAAGCACTCCTCTGCCGCACGAGCACTTCTTCCGCCTTCAAAATGGGAGAAGCTCGTCGAACCCTGGGAACCCTGTGAGGCAAGACCTAAAATTTGGAGAAAACCCGGAGAGAACTCTGCCTTCCACTAAGCTTCCAACCATTTCCAACCTCTTTTGATGCCCATGGTTCTTATGAAAGTGGGATAAATCTGATTGCTTTCCATTCATTCAGCCTAGGACATATGCGTCACTGCTGAGATGTGCTACACCCACAAGCCAGAGGTAACAGTGTTCTATGAGCCAGAGACCCACACCGTATGCTCAGTCGTGAGAGACCCGAACAGCTACAAAGTAGGGTCGATTCAGTCTCTTGGCGTTCACACGAATTTGCACTGCACTGATCCAGTCGGTACATGTCGGTACTGTATTCTTTGGTGGCTTGGACAGTAGCAAGTTCCTGATCCTCCAAAGCCAAACCAAACCTCACAGGCTCTGTGGTTAGGTTTTTCAACAGCGGTAAACAGAGTTCTTGTCAAAAACAGAGTGAACCGACTGTACTTGTTATGAAAGACTCGCTGACTCAAAACAAGCCTCTTCAACTCCAGATCAGGTCATGGGCTTTGACTTTTCATCTGGAAGCACCAGCACTGAACATGCTGACCAAGTGATTCTTGGCTTCAGAGAATGTGTGAGGATTGTGAGGTGTGTTGGACTGGTTTGTAATTGCTATTTTTGATGAGTATATTACAGATTACTACAGTATTTTAATAGTTAACCATCCAGATTCGTGCCTTGCAGACATGTTTCAAATGTTCCAAGGATCAACTTCATTCAGCAAAACAGCCTGGAAGTGGAATGGATTCTTGAGACTCATGCGCACGCCGATCACCTCTCGGCAGCGCCATATATTCAGGATAAAGTGGGTGGCAAGATTGCCATTGGTGAAAACATTCGACTCGTTCAGGATATGTTTGCAGGAGTCTTCAATCTAGGCCCAGGATTCCAGAAGGATGGGTCTCAGTTTGACAAGCTCTTCGCAGACGGTGAGACCTTTCAAATTGGTGAATTGACTGCCAGCGTAATCTACACTCCAGGTCATACACCTGCATGTGTATGTTCCTTTGGTTTTGCCTTATATAATTTGTGTTGCTATGTGTTGCTGGTTTTCCAAAGTTCTGGGCTCTACACATGTCTACACTTTTCATGGATCTTGTCTGTTGTAAGTTTCTTTGCCAAGGTTCTACTTTAGGTTCCCTTTATTTTCTACAGCTTGCTCCATGGAAAATCTATGTCAAGCGTTTTGGAGGTCATTATTGTGACTATAGAGACACTGCAGAGACACTTTCGAGGCCCTTTAGAGACACTTGAGATCGCTTGAGGCTATCTCATCGGTGATGCCCTCTTCACCGGTGACACGCTCTTCATGCCTGACTACGGTACTGCACGGTGCGACTTTCCAGGTGGGTCTTCCAAGCTGCTATACGAATCCATCCAAAGGACACTGGTGGGATGCGGCTAGTGTCAGACACAGCACCACAACATAGCTGCAATAGCCCAAAGTCTTCGCTTACAAGGCTAATGTGCAGCAATGTGTAGCAACTGCTTGCATAAACTGTTCCCACAATTCTTGTTGCGTGTAAAAGGACCTTAACAGGTCAGACCAGAGGGCATCAACAAACCTGTTTTGCATGGGGATCTCTGATAATGATTTTTGCCCCATTGTGATTTGGTCTCTGTAGCAGTCTTTCCAGGAGTTTGTTTTTCATATTCGTTCGAAGTGTTTTTACATGCATTAATGTTTGCAGGGAGCGACTTGTGTGGGCGTTCGGTTGGGAAAGCATTGCTGCTGATCAAAAGGGTTCGAGAAGGTGAGTTGGCCTAAAAAGGATTATAAAGAACGGAAGCCTGTCTAGATTCCACACATCCTCATAGACCACGTTGGTTGGTGATGTGATTTTGCAGGTCGTTACATTCTCATATTTTAGATGACTTGCATATTATTCTTTTCTCATAGGTATATTGTCACATTTAGGCATATTGGTATTAATATATTCAAGCTAGGAAAGGCCGTGACTGAGTTGCAGTTGTCAAACCAGATCCGGTGGGAGGATCATGACGCTTCCGGATGAGACACGCGTTTTTGTGGGCCATGACTACCTTCCGAAAGATGGCAGAAAAGAGTTTGCTTGGGAGACCACCATCGGAGATGAAAAGAGAAGCAACATCCACATCGGTGGTGGAAAGTCTGAGGAGGAATTCTGCCAGATGCGGGACAGTCGCGATGCGCAATTGGCCATTCCAAAGCTTATTGTTCCATCCGTCCAGGTGAACATTCGGGCTGGTCGGTTTCCAGAACCAGATGCCAACGGCCATGTAGCTTTGTCATTGCCAATCAATAAGCTGAGCAACAAAGGCATCCTAAATCCGTAAGTTCTGCGCAGAACGGTGGCGGGCCTTGTTGGGCATTGTTTCCAAATTTCGCTAACACCGGCAAGAAACTACTTGCTTTGGCTTGTCAGTCATGCCGGTCAGAAGTTTCTTTTCTTTCGACTTTCGACTTCTTGCTCAGTCAAGTCAGTTGGAAGCAAGCCTTTGGACTTTCCAATGGAAATTGTTCAGGGCAAAAGATGCCACTTGCAGATTTGTTGTGCCTTAGAGGTGTTTTGTCCAAGCTGCTTTCATCTTGGCTGATTTACACATGTATTGTATTCTTCATTTGTTAATTTCTATTCCTATAATTTCATTATAATTTCTTTTATATAGAATATACTAACATATTAGCTAATAGAAATGGATAGAACATTACAATGAACAGATGAACAGATGAACAGATAAAGGACATCAATCCATCACAAGACTGTTAATTAATTTTGGGACTAACCCCCATTCCCTTGGTAATTAAAGATGTGTCTTCACTTCAGTTGTCCTACCCCTTGTAAGCCTTCTTTCATTGTGATGTAAATAATTAGATCACAAGATGATATTATCTACATATAATATATATATATATAATTGGAAACAAGGATTATTGAAATGCCATCAGCCCAAAGTTTGTCACGGTCTTGTAGCCAGGCAAAGTTTTTTTACCAGGGAAAGTCGGCTTGTTGGATCATCTCTTAAACCTTGTGCCTAGAGAACTTGATGGGATTTCACAGCTCTCCAAGAACAGCATATTTATATCATGAACGAATGCCATTGAGCTGGCGGAACTGCCAAACTTGCCATAACTTGCCAGCCCGTTCAGCCTCAAAATGCCCCCATACGGATCATACGGGGCGATCTCTGCCCATGAGACTCACCAGACTCATAAGACTCCCTTGGGTCGCTTGGTTCCCTTGGTTGCTCTCAGCGCTGGTGCCTCTGAAAGGCTGCACCGGGGCATACCCCGACAAACAAGCAGCCATAGATGAGGTGTGCTTCAATGTGACCTGCCGTTCCTATTGCCTCCTTTGCATAAATAGCAGGTGGGAACACCTCACCCGACAAGACAGGGACAAAAACTTTGACAGCATGCAGGAATGCGGCTACGAGCAGAGAACTTGCGAAGGGGAACGCTAGCTTTGGCCCGGTGTGAACTATTGAGGCTGCCCTTGTTTTGCAGGCTCCCTCGCTCGGACTCCTTCGCAGTTCTGGAAATGTCAGACTGAATGTTTGACTGTGACTGGCTTTGGGCTTGCTTGAAAACATCCTGCATACTACTGCTACTATTGTTTTCAATGCTCGCAGTAGTAGTGGCTTTGCGCATGGGCGCCTCCCTGGCACCATATTGACTGGCCAAGCCAGCATACCTGGTGCTGTACAATGGAAAAAGTCACCAGTGTGGTCGTTGTCTCAAGCATTGTTTACACATCTACGCGATAGTTATTGCATCTATCTAACCTAACTTTCCAGAAATAAAATCAAAGCTCAACCCTGAACCCCAGAATGGTGGGTTTCCCATCCGCCCTTGAACTCGAAGTTTCCATACCTGCTGGGAATAAAACCTTGAACATCCTTGGACATGATGTTGCACCCTGTTGAAATGAATGAGATGAAATGAAATGTATAATTAATTGCTTATGCTGATGAAATCAAATTGGAAAAGGCATAGGGTGATGACAATGAAACAAATCTTACAATGAATAGTTTACATTGCTTTGTTTGTGGAGGACAGATTGACAGTAATCCTAGTAATCCTTCACTTTTTGCAGCTCTTTCCATCCCTGTTGGCGTCGTTTGCATGGCTTGCGTGCTGAGTTGCTGTGGTCTTGAGATCCCCGGAAAGCCCTTCACAGCTCGCGCAGTAGCTGCAGTGTAGCAGGTCGTCAACAATTCAGAATTTGATAGGAGTTAGATAGGAGTTATTAGGAGTTCAATGGAGTTCATGATTCTGTGGATTTCTGTGGATTTTCATGACTTGATGAATGAGATTGTGCAGCCTGCTGTGCCTGGGTCTTGCTGGAATTTGCTTTCTCTCAATGATTCTTGGCTCATCTTGGCTCCTTATTTCATGAAGTCCAGAGCAGTGGACTTGACGCCGCAAATTAGAGTGTGGCACATGCAATCAAAACATTGCGAGCAACTGCCTTACATTCAGGATACACTTGCACATGCATAAAGTCGGAGCTCGACTCAGTCAAAAGCTGACACTTGTCACTATGTAAAGGCAACACAGATTTACCATATCGCCCAAAGGTGTTTTGTGAAGGGGCCATACAAATTCGCACTTAGCTCTTAGCACCATCCTCTTCTTTTGCGTGTGTCAAAGTTGTTTAGAGATGTTTAGAGCCGTATCGAATCACCCACATCAATTACAAGTTTTATGTGACAGTGGCTTCCTTGCTGCGATGTTGGCTGAGTGGCAGGATCAAGAGCAATTGTCTTAGCTGTCCGGAAGTTGCTGGAGATCCGACAGTTGGAGGTTTGACGCCAGCCATTTGCATGGTGCACGCAGACATGCAGACAAATGTACTGATTCCATCTGATTCCTATTTGTCATGGAGATAGCTGCTAGATATCAATAGATATCAATAGATACTGTATCAATAGATATCAGGTGCTCGGCTCGTCGTAAGACTTTCTCAGAAGCTGCTGACCTGAGCCTGCCCGAGTGGCTAGTTTCATCAAGAGTCTTCAGGGAAGCAATTGACTTACATTAATGATCATTCATGACTTACATTGATGACATAATACCTTACGTTACCTTGCGTTGGTATCAGGTTGGTCAGCTTTGAACATCTTTGAACAAGCTGCAGTAAATTGATTGCAGACCTGAAGTTGTTGGCACACACCAGAGAGCTTTCAGGTTTGTTCAGGAATTCAGGATAATCATGAAGGAGATCAGCGTGAAGCATGCATTGCCAGAAATCCATTTGGCACAGATGCATGAAGGAGTAAGAAGCACGAATTCCAAAACTCTTTGCTGCAATACTGCCTTCCGTGAAATTGAAGCATTCTGAGAAACTGAGGCTGTGCCGGCTTTTGATATCTTTGAGCTCAGCAGAAAGGCACGGGACCAGATGTAGAGCTTTATCCACAGAAAATGTTGCTGGGATTTGCTAGGCCCCTAGGCACTTGTTCAAGCACTGCCGGTGCACTATGGTGCACCGCTGGTGCCATGGACATCCATGGACCACGACATCATTGTACACGAAAAGCAGCAATGCTTCACAAGGTCGAATTGAAACGCTTGTGTTTGGAGTGGTTCCCGTGTGTTTCCCCAGCTTGCTTTTGACAGGCAAGAACGGCAGGCGGCAGAGCAGGCCTTGGAAGGCCTCGGACCCAAGACAGTTTAGTTTTTATCTGAAGACAAAGGTATCCTGGCAAGGCGAAATTCCAAAGCTTGTTTTATCCTGCTTTCCTCGGGTCTCAGCGTCAGCACTGCTTTCGGTTTTCAGCTGGTAGGTGTGAAATGCTCCTCTGGGTTTGCAGCTAGGCGCGCAAGAACTCTGGGAGCAATTGCGTGAAAATCCTTCGGAGATAGCTTCAATTCCTTGTTTGAAATCACCTCCGTCCTGGATAGGTCGCGGTTCCCCCTTTTGTGTCTGTGGTGAATATTGGATTCTTTGGCAGATAAAGGGAATGTGCAAATTTGTGCAAATACTTGTACCAGAGATTACCAGAGTGTATAAGGGCTGGATGGGAAAAGGTCAGACTATGGGCATGAGTCCAAGCAGGGACGGGTGCTCTGGAGCTTAACTTTTGACAGTGGACAGGAAAGGAAAGGAAAGGAAAGGAACACAAAGCATGGTACTGCTAGCACCATGTAGCACCATGTAGCACCATGTAGCACCGCAGTAGCTTTTTCCGACTAGTCGACCTGTTGGATATGTTGCTTCCAAGCAAGTCTTATGTTGGTTCATTTCTTTTGATAACCAAAAAAATCTGAAATGGCTGCATTCCACAACTCCGGAGGAGAAAAGAATATGGACAGGGGGTGCAAGGTGTTTGTTCTTCAATTTCTCCACACAACAGCTTTAACATGAGTGAACATGTTTTATCATTTTTTGGGATTGCAGGATGGAACAGTGCAAGGTGTGAATTCATCATAATTCATCTACCATGGACCATGGCATGACTGTTTTTTGGTAGAGAGATGTAGAGAGCCTAGGGCGCGCAAATCAGACCCAGTGACCTACCCGGATTGTCTCTAGGCTCAGTGGCTTCGGCGCTTGCGGGCCAAGTAGCCAGGACAAAGTCCTGTCCATTGACCTGTCAGGAGTTCAATAATTGACAATAGAATACAATAGAATACAATAGATGTCATATGATTTCAATAAGTGTTAAAACAAAAGGAAATGAACATGACGAGCATGAAACAAGGAGGCTTCGCTGATTTTAGGTGCTGCACTAGCAATGTACTAGTTTTATCTAGTTTTTGGGTGAATAAACCTGATTCAATATGATTCAATTTTGTTTCAAGAACTCTCGAGTCCTTTTGGCAGTCCAGTGTGTTGCCGATTCTTCTGATTGATGCAAAGTAACCTTTGTCTTGAGGAATGTGTTGTTCTGTGTGCGGGTTTAAACAGCGGAAAGTCTCAGCCGTGGCCCAGATACGTTGCGTGCAAGTATGAAATATCGTAAAACGAAGCACTAGACAAAGCATTTCCAAGCTCTAACTCAATGACTTGACTAGACAAACTATGCGGACATCGGACTAACAAACTATGCGGACTATACACCACCTCCGAAAGCTCAAGCAAGGCACAGCCATCCAGCTTAAGATGATGAATGCAACGTTGAGGTAAGGGTGCATTGAACGCCTTGTTGCTTGACAGTGAGCTGTTCCAGGATGCGCTTGAATTGCGAAAGTTAGCTTTGACAATCTTGTCACCTGGCTGAAGATTCTGCGGCTGTGTGGTTTCGATTTAGTCTTGGCATCTCTTGACATTCATGTCCGCATTTTGGTGGTGGATGGTGGGACCCAATTATACAATCGAGTCCTGGTGTAGCGGATGGAGACTGAAATGTGATGCATGCTAGAATAGGGAAGACGGAGCTCTGAGTGGTTGATTTGTTTCTGTAAAGATGCACTGCAGATTTCAGCAGATCATAGTAGGGGTATATAGGGCACTTTAGCAAGCAGCAACAAGCGCATAGCAGCATTAGGCAATATTAGGCAGGTCAAGGCTGCGTCGAATTCTGCCAAATTTTGCCAGCGC